TGACATGTAACCATACCATCCAAGTTCTAATGGAATGATTGAAAGGTTCCGCAGAACTATGAAAGCTGCTCTCAAATGCCATTCTGGAAAGTTGTCCGAGGATCTATCAACAATTCTTCTTGGTATACGAGTTACACTGAAAGAAGATTTAGGTGGTATCAGTAGCGCTGAGATGGTAAATGGAATGACCCTGAGAATCCCTGGAGAGATGGTTGTTGAAGATGCAAGATTCAACCCTAATCACGAAGAATTTTTAAACAGCCTCAAGAAGAAAATGAATGAAATGAAAACAAAACAAGGTTCTGATCACAGCAACAGGAAAATATACATATATAAAGAATTACCAACTGCTACACATGTCTTCGTTAGAATAGTTGCAGTAAAAAACCTTTGCAACAGCCATATTCTGGACCATACAAATTAAAATTTGAAAAAAAATGAACAGCATCAATGTAAAGAGTACCAAATTCTCTATCAATCAGCATATACAACGATACTGTAGAAAGAATATTTATTAAGATATGGAGCTACAAAAACATATGACATTAAAACGGACAAAACTTTTGAAACAATCTAATAAAATTCAGTCAGTATTAAAACGCTTGAGAAAGCTATTGTATAGCAAAACACGTGTTGAGGTTTTGTATACTGTCCAGGGAAAATTTCACAATGAAGGCTAACATGAATATGAACAAAACCCAATATCTAACCTGTACCATCTTGTGCATTCTTCATTGGTAACCATAAAATCAATCTTTGATATTCCGATGTTTCAAAAGTAACTAACGTTCATCTTTCATGGCACTCTGTATAATTATGTGAAGTAAAAAAGTCTTTAAAGATAGATAAATTTCTAAGAGTGACCACAGTATTTACACTTCAACATATACTTTGAATAACTAACAAAATTATTTACAATCTTGGAGTTAATAATCCTCAAATATCTGGACCAACGCTCCTGCGCATTTTCGTTGTTCAATTTTTCATCAAGTTCTGTAAAAATGTATTCAGGCTTCTCAGTGATTATATTTATGTCCTCATGTAAACCTTCCGAAAGATATCAGACGACCTTATGAGCATCTTGCTGATGCAGAGGCAAACTAACTGTATCTGTTTCTTCAAGAAAAATGTGTTCATCACTCATTTCATGATTCTGTTGACCATAGTTCTTTAATCACTTCTGCCAGAACAAAAAATAAGTCGAAAGACTGTATCGAAAAGAGAAACATACGTATAAGAAAATGAATATTTCAAAATGGAATTTGGAAACATTAATCTCTCTCAACGTACCTACATAGTAGGTTCTAGTGAATGCCTGCCGTGAAACCATTACTTTCTTGGCAATTACCACGATGGACATTTAATTATATCCAACAAACATTTATGCAAGACACCTCACAAAGGTTATTCTTGCAGATGTCTCTCCTTCGTCCAGCAGCAAGACCACGCTGAAACCATCCCAGTGTGCCTGGGACTCGATTGACTTCAACAGGGCTCGACTGCATGTATCAAACCTTCGTCTAAATGAAAAATTGTTAACTAGTAGCCACTCCATATAATAGAGAGATGTTTTGAGATTCCATTTCAAAATATTCATTCAATTATCATTCTGCAAGAGATTCAGTTAGAGCGCCCGTCTTACTAGAAATACTAGTGTTGAGATCATTTGTGGGAGCATCATTTTTTAAATACTCTAGAAACCATGTTGAGTTTGAAAAATATTATTTATATAACTCCCACGGTCACCTTGGACCGTTTCAGTTTATTTTAAGTTAGATTGATTACACCAGATTCTTCTTTCCTGTTATTAACGATACTGAGCTGACACTTCTCATTGCTCCATGCTCAGAAGAAGGTTGCAAATATAGCGGTAAAAATTTGATTTAAATAGTCAAGATACCACAGGGCAATGTTGATTTGGTTTGAGGAAACCTGGACGGATCAGAAGTAACACTCTGAAATTGGTTCCTGTTTCTGGACAAAAAGAAGCATTATTAAGGAAGCAATCCGATATTTTTTGCGGTATCAGCCCAAGAAGTAATTGTTTTCCAGCAGGAATTTGCCGGGTTTTGCC